TGGTAATTTGCATATTTCTTTGAAATGAAAGGATATTTTGCCAAAAAAACTATCCAGTGGTTTTTGTCATGCCCTAGCCTATCTACCATGAAAATACGAGCGAAATCGAATTTTCGACCCTTGCCGAGTTATTTTCCATTTTTATGGACAGAGACTCTTAAGTTGTCGACAACATGACACACATTTGAGCATGCGTGTTGTGTTTTGAGCATGCGAACTGAACGTTATTTTCCAAAGTCTCTCTGACGTGATTTAGACATCAACAAATAACACTGCAATGTGTGGAATTCTTGCACTAGACACAATTACTTGACGATAACAAATAGTTGTCGACAACTGTCTAGTCTGTGGAGGCCCTAAGCAACACAATTTGTAATCTTGACGATGATTTGATGACGACTTGCATCTGAGGCATCGGTAAATTTTTTAGCAACGTCATGACGTCAGATTTTCCCGTAAACCTTCCGTTTGTCGCAATTTTTCAAAACGAAGACATAATTGGAGCTGATTATGCAAAGAGTACTTAATGAAGAAAATTCTGTCTCGCTCTCTTTCCTAAGGTGCTTAAATCATTCAACTCAAAAAGTGAATAATGCTGCCTATTCATATCATCCGCGTCGTTCAGATCTAACTGAAATGTTCATATCATCAAGTCGATTACAAAATTATATAGAAGTAATACATCAAGCACGAAAGACCGTGTTTGACCGCATTTCCAAACACCGAGAGGAGGGCCGAAATTAGGGGAAAAAGAGAAATAAAATCGTGAAAATCTATGCTAGTTAAGGTCGAAAATCCAAACACCATCACGGTCATGACGAATTACTTGATGGATTATCAGATAACTGAGTTGAGAAACAATTATTCCATTCGCTCTTGAATTGGATTATTATTTTTACCTCGCATCCAACGTGGGCTCATAGAATAATTGCAACTTATCTTCATCATCACCATTATCGTTTTTTGAATATAAGTGAAACGCTTAGTTAAGTGTCACTGATGGTAGAATATGTCCAACTCTGAGGTCTCCCATGGGCACATCGTCGGAGAGGACATTAAAAGGCTTTTATTTTGAATATCTTTATGTGCCTTCTGGAGGACTTGAATACAAAATGCTTCAAGCTCTGCAGACATAGGAGCTTCAAGCACGTGTAATATTTCTGACAGAATTCCAAAGATTTTGTTGGTACCTTTAGCCTGAATTCCTTGAAGTTGTTCCTTACTTTCCTTTTGGCTGCAAACGGTCTCCTTGAGAACACTGGGTCCAACTGGAAATTCAGTCTGGATATCGGCATGATCATTCTGTGGGCATTTATCATTTTTGATGTCTTCTTTCTTCTCTGGAGGAACGACAAACGAATCAATTGAAACAAACTGTTCTAAGTCGAAGTTAGGAATAGTCGGTTTCTCAATGTCTTGCATAGGACCGTAACTAGTGACTTGAGATACCTGCTGGCTTCCCACCTTGTCCACTGCTTGGTAAACCTGAAGTGGATTAACATTTGGTTTGATGGCTAAATACTCACTGATATTAAACTGAACTCGTTCAAACTCCTGCACCTCCCTTTGGAACTGCAGAAATTGTTCGTCGTTGGTATGGCCACGAACCAGTCCACTCTTATGCTGGTTTGCATCTTTGCTTCTGGTATGCACGTCTTGCGTCTGTCTGCCGTTCTGGCGAGCAATTGCTTGTCTGAATGCCTTCCAGTTAATACAGACTGGAAGCACACAAAGGTCGTCTGAGCAATTCATTCCATGCTCTGCCCAATCAAGGCGTTTTTGTTGACTTAGCTTATTCATGTTCAAGAGGCTCTGATCTCCGCGTAAGTAAAACACCTGACAATGAAAAAAGGTATGATTACGAAATTAACACGTCACTCAAAAAGTTAAAATGGTTTTAATAAAGAACTAGTTGTCAGGACGAAACAGACGTCACTACTGTATGGGCGTCATTTTCAAATACCATGAAGAGACGTAAAGTAAATTCCGTGCTTCTGATTGGTCAAACGAGCAAAGGAACCAATCAAGCACTACGCGAATCTCTGTGAAGCAAGTCATTGAAAAGGGTTCATTCATTCTATGCTTTTTACCAGATTGTATTCGTCGAGTTCCCACTCTCTTCCTCCCGCACATAAAAAATTGCTATGAAAAGTAATGACTTTAAAAGGATTTCCGTCCACCAACAACAACAACATGGCTTTGAAATTCAGTTAGCGGATCAGCTAACTAAAATCACACACCACCTTGCTTATTTATTGCCTGCAGCTTTAATAATAAATGGATCATACTCGAATATGGCCTATCTATCTATCTTTCTGTCTCAGTGTCTGTCCTTCTAATATATTTGTCTGTAGCACACCAAAGTCTAATCAAACAAGACCATTTGGGCGACAACGGTAGCTACTTGAAATTTTTCAATAATTTTAAGGACAGAGGTCTCCCGAAGCACTATGGAATAATGATTCCCGAAATCATTATAATAAACTGAGTCACATTACCATCTGAGTATATTTAGCGGTCATGTCTTCTTTCCAGTGATACGTAAACCACAGACGACTACAGGAAACGGCCCTCAGGGTCATTTTTAACGATAAGTTCCCACAGTATAAATACTTTCGATATTCTGCTTCAACTGGCTGAGCTTCTTTCACTTGCTAACAGAAGACTTCAACAACAACAACAATTACTTTATTTACTCGGACATTTACATTTTTTTATATATATATATTAGGTGTACTATATGAGTCTGGAGACTCAAGTAACTAAGGGTTTTCTAGTCAGCCACCAGTTATTATCTTTCTATGGAGATTTAAGAGAAAAAAGCTATTAAGAGAAGGAAATGTGTACATTAAATTGGAAAAAAGGAGCATGTAGAAATATTATTTGTTTTCAGAATGTTGTTCAGACAATAAATAAAGTTTCAGATGTTTCGAGAAGTCGAAACATCTATTTCGGGAAATAGTAATTCTAATGTTCAAAGCAAAAAAGAAATCTCTACTGTATTGTTATGGAACAGTTCACCCTTAATGCAACCTGTAAAAGGAAATTTGAGAAACTCAGATTAAGATATTTTGGTGCTTTCCTTTGATTGAAGTATAACGAAAGAATTACGTGCCGAGAGTAGTCTGTTGAGATTCAACCTAGATGAAAATAAGGAAAACTGACCCGTCTACAACAGTCTGTAAAGATGATTTTGGACGCTTTGTAACAATTAAGCTAAGAATTGGTCCATGCTTAGCGTGCGTATATCGAGTTATGGATGCACTTAGGAAGTTTGGAGAGCACGACAGAAGGGTAAGAGTTCTTCGCGGCGCAGCTGAGAGCAACTCTAGCTTCTTGTGTGCTCTCTAAACTTCCCAAGTGCATCCATAACTCGATCAATATACGCACACGGATGAACCAATTCTTTTTTGTTAACGTTTGATATTTGCGCCCATCCTGTTTTCCGTATTTGATGTGTAAATAGTCTTACATTTTTGGTTTTCTCGTTATTATACATTGAACTCACTATCTCTTTTCTGATTGGCCGAAAGCGTACCGTGAGTTTTCAAAATTAGTGCCTGTGACATCATCTAGCTGCAGATTATGCAATAATCATGTCAAGGACACTCAAGGCCACGGGTAATCACGCCATGTATGACCGCGGTGCATGATTTCTATGGGTATTCATGTCAAGTTCACGCGAATTTTTTTCTTCTTTTTTTTTTTTTCGTCATTCAATGTACAATAAAACAATTATTAGATTCGGTTTTTGTGATATCCAAATTAATCAAGGTCTCGGTAAGGGTTATCAGCATCAGGCTTCGGGTGCGGCTGAAACCCCTACCTCGACCTTGATTGTTCTGGATATCACAAAAACCTCATCCAATAATTGTTTATAATCATCAACACTTATGCGACGAAAATTTAAACTTCAGAACTTGACGTGTAGATCAAATTCACTACCTGTCACCACCACCACGACGCCGACTACTACTATTTCTACAACTAGTACCTCTACTACTACTACTACTACTACTACTACTACTACTGCTGCTACCACTACTACTAACACTAGTACCTCTACTGCTACTGCTGCTGCTTCTGCTCCTGACTACTTCTGTTCACTACAGAAAGAAATTTCAAGTAGATACAATTTAATCCAAGGTGAGGCCGATGTAGAGCAGAAACCTCAAGATGGCCTGAAATTGCCTCTAGAAAAGTCAACTTCGAAAAGAGCTCTTTACCATAACTCTCACAGTACCTCTCTCCATCCAGGTGTATAAATGAGTACCAGCGAATTTAATGCTTTGGGTAACCCTGCGATGGACTAGCATCCCATACAGGGAGAAGTAGAAATATTCCTAGTCGCTTCATGCTACAGAAACTGGCCTTATTGGCCACTTGGCCCGTATTCAGACTTTCCCTTTTCTCAGTTACCAAATTGAATAACACGAAAAGTAATTACGAAATACCTGTCTGAAAAACCTTTACCGTGTTTACAAAACTGTGCTAATGGGTAGATTGCAAAACAGCAGTTTTTTTTTCCTAAGTAGCTATTCGAAAGCGCAAAGAGCCGAAAGCGTGGACAGAACAAGTATGAGAGACCGAAGCAAAAACACGCCTGCAGTATGGTGGTGTTTGATGATTTTTCTTGTGTTTAGTCCGGTAATTTTAATCTTGAATGGCTCTGTTGCGGTATATGCAAACCTGCGGGATGCATTTTGGCTAGCATTGGTCGATATTAAGACAAATCCTTGACAGTCAACAATGGTTTGTCAATATCCAACTCAAGAAATTAAATGAAAGTTCAAAAGAACGCGCAAAACTCCGAACAACCAAAATGAAACACAGAAAAAGTTAACAGGGCGTGGATGATCAAAATTGGAGAAGATTTAAAAACTGATTGCATTCGGGTATACTGAAAAACTCAGCTTGCCTTTTTCATAGTCTATCTTAATTTGCTTGGGAGAGTTTTCTGATTTCTAGCACTAACTGATAATTCCGCTAAAATTAAGGAAACATTTTTTGTTCGACGCCTCTTTGGTCATGATGCCATTACTCCGCAAGAGTAAATAAACTATAACAAAGCGAATTTTGAAATAGGCTAGATCTTAGACTGTTCACAGTTCCCTATTTTTCCCTGAGATCGTACTGTCGATCGTTTACCCATCTTGGTTTGTTGACGAGAGCGAAACTGGGGAGAGTACAAAATGCCCGTGGATAGAGGCGGTGGCGTTACCACCCCTACCTACGAGTATTGTGTACTCTCCCCAGTTTTGCTGGCATCAAGAGACCAAGATAGCTAGCGGCCCGTGGAACCCAGGATCGGCATCTACGATGCCTCAACAAACACTTTAGTGCGAATCGCGTCAATCAATTCGTGGCAAGTGTTTGTTTAGTCATCTATTTGACAAGAAGATTATGTTGTCATAATAGCACCTCGAAAGCAAAACGAGTCAGTTTGAAACTGTTTTTAAGTCGTTAGCACTCTTTATTACATAATTTAGAGTATAAGAAAGTTTTAAACTTTTAGTTGTTATAAAAGTTAAGAAAACTTAGCGATAAGTCACGAAACAGTTTGGCAACAAAACCAACTTTAAATTTTAGCGAGCCGTACAGGAGAGTACGGCCCGCTAAATTGACCAATCACGGCGCGCGTACTAACTGAGAGATATAATAATAGCCTTTATAAAACAATTAGATTATGATCTCGAGATTTTTATGATGCGATAGTTGTCCAGGTCGCATCCCGAGTAACCTATCACATATGCCATTTTGTTTCTTTTGTGATGTACATTTCTGGTGCCAAGTTTGAAGAACACCGCTCCAATATTTTTAGAGATATTCCGTTGATTCAGTGTTTTACCGGTATACTGTTTCAGTGGCACTACTTATGACGCGATCACTTTCCTAATTTGCGTAATACAAAAACGTCAATATCTCTAAATCGGAAAAGATATGGCAAAAAGGAAAACGCCAGTCTTTTTTATTTTGAAAAACATTTCAAATAAGCAGCAATTTTTTTTTTTCATTTCATAGGCACTGTTTCAAAGCGGGGAATGAGTGACCTCATTATAGCACAGTGAGGATATGGAAAATTCCAATCGGTCCCGGTTGTAGTTTCCTATGAATTTACGAGAAGTGCATTGTCCACTAAAACACTTTGGTCTATAAAAGATCATAAAATGAAACTTACCGTCCTTTAATTTTGGAACATCATAAATCTTGTACATTGGCGTGAGGGAAAATCGATCACGTACACAAGTCAGGTGAGCAATCGACGGATTTGGTGAAAAAAAACGGCATGGATCGGCGGATTTGCATACCCCTATTCACCCTCCTCGTAAATTGAAACTTACCGTCCTTACCCAAATTAAAAGTTGCTGGCATTGTTATCAGGAAACACAGGGTTTCCAAGATTATTATGCTGCTGCCTGTAGGCTCACAGCAAGCAATGAACACTGTCTAACATGCTTCTGACCTCAGGGTTATGTTTAGTTTTGGAACATCATAAATCTTGCACATTGACGTGAGGGAAAATCGATCACATACACTAGTTAGGTGAGCAGTTTTCTCGTTAGAAGTGCAACATCTCACTAACTAGCAGACGTCTCAGTTCTTAACGGAGTCAGCCTTACAACTCAGGTATGCATCAGTGAAAGACAACTTTGATACACTCTCTGCTGTCTTTGTTAAACTTCCGGTGGCTTGTAATTGCGCAATTTAGGACAAATTTAGCACTTAACTCACCAACAATACACTTTCAGTGTCATTAAATATTGGTAAAGTTTAGTCGTTCTTAATATAGCACCTCTATTTTATTAGCGTATTTTATTTCTGATTAAAACTGATGCTTTGTATCTTGGTCAGTGAAGTCTAACCTGATGTGAATTTAAGTTTTCGCTTCGTATTCGTCCATAAGGCATTGAATATGTCAACATGTGAAGTCATTCTTAAGTGACGTAGGTATATAAATTTTTGTCACATGGTATTGAATCGCTTCAGGTGAACGAAAAATATAAAGCGGAAACGTAGTTTATAGACTGAAACAGTTATGAAGCCCGACAAAGTCCTTTGGTGATTGTTTTTGTTTACATTTTCGGCCTTGACCATGACCGTGCATAAAACACGATTCAGTTGTTATCTAAAGACTGAAGAACTAACCAATAGAAACGTTTTGGCGAGGTAACTCATGCACGGTCGTGGACATTCCAACATAAATTTTGATATTTTGATGTTTGCGGCGGGCGTCATAACCATCCCCCTCTTCAAACTATGGTGGAAAAAATGAAGAATTATGCCAGACTGCGTACCGTAATGTAAAGCTGGTTTTTTTTTTTGTTCAATTTGTATTTTATTTTGTATTTCGCATTTAAGTGCACACACGGCACACGTAACTAATAGCAAGGCAATGGTTAAGCCCTATCTTAACGTACAATGGAAATGAGTAAATATATACCTGATTTCTTCTTCCCAGATATTTAAAATCCCTAGTTTTGTTGCACTGCCAAACACCAAGCTTCTATATAGCGTCTCCAATGCTTGCATTAACTCTGAATTGTTTCCATGTAGCGCGCTGACCCGCTATATATATATGTATAGCGCTAGCGATAATATCTTACCATGGAACATTCGGGAAGATGATGGCCACTTCGGCGGTTCCGACCGATTCCGAACAAAGCTCTATTAATTCGGGTTCGAGAATGAACGATACAATTATCATGTGACATGTTATTGTTACATAACTATACCCTGAAACATTGTAAACACTTGTTTCCGGCGCTGGTGTCGCCTGTATTAAAGAACAAAATACCCGTTCGAGATCTGTTCGAAAGATCTATTCAACATCACAGCCAGTTACTGTAATTGTTAAAGTAATTTTCGTTGTATTTGGTGGTTTTAACATAACGAGATTAAAGGAGTGAGCTTCCAGAGTCAACATTTCGAGCTAATCTGTCTCCGTTTAGATTTAATGCCAATGCAGGGCTCGGGCAGGTCAAGCGGGAAATGGAAATGTGAATAACAATTAGGTAAGGCTGATACAATGAGCGAAAGCCTGTGAATATAATAAGGGCGAACCATAGCATCTATTTACTAAGAAAGTGAAGTATCGCAAATAGTTTACATCCCTTTGGATGTTTCTGTGAAAAGCTTTTTTTGAAAGGTACAAAAACAACATGTACGTTGTAATGTGCGTGGGTTTGATCGGCTACTTGATGATGACGTGCGAAGTCACCAAACTGCACCTTTGTTTTTTCTTCCTGTTTGGCTCCTGACCTTCAGCCGTCACGCAATCAGTAACGAGTTCCTCAAACCCAAGGCCCACTCTGCCCTAAGCGTCATCTTCGGAGGACTCACCTAGAAGATTGACGTGGCTGCTAATCGAAATCGTTCGGATTTGGTACGTCTTAGGCTGTTCCTTTGGGTTTTCAGCAGCTTTCGCGGTACCTTTTAGGGTATTGAGCCGAAAAAAAGTCAGTTTCAGTTAATAAAAAATGAGGCCACGCCCATAAAACGGAGTCTTGGTACCTTTTTTTTTTTAAATTTCCAACGAGCACCCCCGTCCTTTTTATATTGGACCTCCCCCGAGACGGTATCACGATGGCTGCGTGAAGTGTTACACGTTGCTTAACAAAGGATCCCTGAGGCTTTAAGTACTTTGACTGAACGTATCCTGAGATTTCGAAGGGATTGTTCCAGATGCTTTAATTCATTTCCTGCCGTCATAATTGTTTCGCTCCTCAAGGGTCAAGTAAAGAGCTCTCTATTTATAACCTGACGTAACTGTTCGAACTGTTTTCGCATTCGATAATCGGACAAACTTAATCGACTTAAACGAACGAGTGATTGAATTCGGTAATCGAACAAAATCGAACCAAAAATTTGTGTGAGAGTTCGATAGAATTCCCGAATCGAACCCAATGGAACTTCATCGAGCGCTCTGAGCTATCACTCGAAATTGACAAGATTGTTGAAAAGTCTCTCTTGGGCATGGACTTCACGGTTGAGTGAAAATAACAATAGAAGCAATTGAACAAAGCAAACAGAGGCCGAGTGACACTCCATGAATACTCATTTTCTCTTGACACTTCACACTGTTTTGCATTTATTTTTAAAATTGTGGTCACTATTTAGAGAATGCATGTGAAGAGTCTAATATAATGTTATTTTTCAGTATAAAGACGTTAAACACGGTGCGGTAGTTAACATGAAGAGCCTTTATTTCATAGTCAATAAAATGTACAAAAAATGTCGAGTGTTCACAGTTTGAGCACGGTCCTCACTGTAACATCCCAGCAAGGAATCTGCCACAGGTCTGTTAATGGCCTCTTTTGGCGATAACCGAGTTGCAATACATTGTTTCTTTTTAAGGTTACTCGAAACCTTCGCGGGCTACTTTTGCCAAATTTTCTTTTTGAGAGTTCATTACTTAAGGAAACATTTTCTTTTCCAAAAATTGAAAATAAAATATTAAAACGCGCGCCAGTTATTGGGAAAAAGAGATTTTGTTAATAAAAGTTAATAAACCGTCAAGGTGTCATAACCCCAAAAAGCATGGACTCCTCAGCGATCTTTTCGTGGCAAACGGCTTAAAGGAGCTCAGTCACGGTATTTTGAGTTAGTTTGGCCACATACAAAATTAACTTTAAATGGTAGGGAACCTGAAAATAATAGTTTAAATACGATAGAAAAACACCAAACAGATAATGATAAACCATAAATGATAAAGCTACAAGAGCAACCTTCATTGACTTGTCTAAAGCGTTTTGATACCATCAGCCATTCCGTTTTGTTAGAAAAACTGTTTCGCTATGGCATACAGGATAATGAACTGAACTGGTTTACGGACTATTTATTCCTCCGAAAGCAGATCGTTCAATTTAAGGGAGTATTGTCAGAACCTAACCCTGTTTTCACAGGTGTTTCCCAAGGAAGTATTCTCGGGCCGTTATTGTTTTTAATTCATTTTAATGACGTCCACAAAGCTCTCCGTTATTCTAAGATTAGGGACCTTACGCAAAACACGACGGCAACGGCAACGAGAACGTCACCAAACAAAAGGTTTAATGAGGAGAACAATGGCTGTGCACGTGCATTATAA